ACTCCTGCGCGGATCGGCGATCCGTGAATCGCACCGGCCTTCCCCGCTTCTTTCTTTCTTTTTTTATTATACCTCTACCTTTCCACGCTGTACGAGTCGTTCGTCGACTCCTGATCACCTGGCAGCCCCGCGAGCATCAAGGTGTTCGGTGGCAGCTTGTCGTTGTCTTGAGCGGCCAAAGACAACAACCGCCGATACGGAAGAATGAAAGAGAGGAAGGATGATGATAAAAGAGACTTGTTGCTTCGAGTAGCCGTGTGATACGGCTGACTACGTTTTTTTTTGTGTGTATGAACATGTGTGTGTATTGTGTGTGTGTATTCGGAAAGAGTATGCGCATGGGTAAGCTTGTATGCGTGCTGAGTGTGGGCAAATGGTGAACGTGCCATGCTGATGAATGCTTGATTTGTAGCGTATGTGTCTTCAACTCATATATGCCGTATGTTCGTTATATTAGTATCCGGGGTTTTACGCGCCAAAAACCACGCCATGATTATCAGACGTCGTAGTGGAAAGTTCTGTAAACGTTCACTTCCTGGTGTGCTTTTACGTGCAATAAGATTGCACAGAACACTGTCCTCTATCGTTCCGCCTGCATGGAAATGCGACTACCACGGCCGGATTCGAACCGGTGACATTCGGGTAAGCAGCCGGGAACCTTAACCTCTACACCACAGAGGCGGACAGCTGAAAGATCAGCGACAGTATGCTTATGAAGCATCGCATCATGGGTACAGGCCACCTAAGGATGTGAAGAAATGATCATAAGTGCAATTGTTGTCCTTTTTCAAATATAGAGGTCGCCACTAAGGAGTCACCGATACAGAAACTGCTCCAAGGTATGTGACAAGGTAAACACGAACTACATCAAAACGTCGCAGTGCCGTCAGGTACCATTTTTTTTTTCATTCCTTCATTGACCGCAATGATGAGTGTCATTTTCCGTCGTTGTTTTAGAGCAGAGACACAAAGCACGAACGTGAACTTTCATTCGATTTTAACAAAACAGTTCGAACCACTGTACCTCACCTAAAAAAAAACGAACTAAATATTCAAAGCGTATTGATCCGAGACAATGATAGGTGCTATCTGACGCTACAACGCGTGGCGTCCGGCAGGTGTTCTCGAAGCATCGGGAGAACGCCAAAAGAGGGGGTTACTGTCCGGAGAGAAAAAAAAAAAAAGGTGATAACCCCTGTTCCGGCTGCTGGGTTTAGTCCTATAGCTCACTTCTATGCGGATTCCGTCTGTGTCAGCAGGCCAACGCACTCCCAACTACGCCACTCGCATTTCGATTCGTTTCTGACGCTGTGCTCTTTCAAGGTCGCTCGCGTGCAAGGGCATCGTCGTGAGTGTTTTAAATGCCACCGCGCAGATGGGTTTAATCGGCGACGTCTGCCTTCATTGGTATTCTGCCGGCAGCGTAACGTTACACCAGACTTCTCGGCCATGCTGCGTGGACGTTCGATCTCTTTGATATGCAAGAGCATACGCGAGTGCATGCAGATGCCCTCGTCCCGATTTGTGAGCGGGCGGTACACGATGACGTGGTGGTGTCCTCCCTCGGCCAGCACTGGCTAAACGAAGCTTATTAATTGTTATTGTTTACTTGACTAGTTGGCTGCACTAGTTCGCTTTTGTTATGCTTGGCTATAGCGTGTCTAATAGAGGTTGATGTTTTCATTGTGTAATGTTGGCATCGTCATTCAACTAAGGCGTATACATTTTGCTGTCAAGCTGCAAGCGTGAACGGACAATGTGGCGTTGGTGAAGATGTTCCAGAGTAGCTTTTCCCCACCCCAATCCCTTACGTGCAGATTCATGTATATTGTAAATAAACACAACTAAACTAAAGTGCTTGAACTGGTATAGCGAGTTACGGTAAAGAAGAAATGGCCGAGCAGACAGACCCAAGAGGACAGAGCGCTAACTTGCAACTAATGTTTATTCGCGAATATAATAAAATCTGTACACTTCCGTTATAGCATACACAGAACACCCGAACGTGTCGCTGATATTCTGTCTCCCGTTCTCTTGGTCTACTTGGTCATTTATTCTTTACAATAATGTGCTACACCAGTTCATCTATACGACGAGCCAACAGGCCAAATATTGAATACTTGTAAGCTGAAGTGATGATACATGTCTGCAAAATGCAGTTCATAAGCTAAGAACGTTCGTAAGAACAAGCACAAACATGGGGATCAGTTCATGACACGCAAGAACGTGGTCATTTTGTGGAGTCCCCATTAAATCATTAGATGACCTCAGTGAGAGCCCCCCGATTCTGCCAGAACATTACAACTATGCGAAGCCTTTTTTTATCAATCCAGGCAATCTCTGTTGGAGTAACGGAAATCAGGAGGACGCTTAAACTGAAATCCCGAAGCCTGCCGTTCTTTCCAGCCCTCAATGGGCCTCTAAACTCTGAAATCCAAGTTCGTTTGAACCTTTAGAACGTTGAATAGTCAATCCGCCCCTGGTTGAACCACCGTAGACTTTGATGCACGGGACACTATAGTTTCGTGGGGTGAAAAAAAAACAACACTGCGTCTACTTTCAGAAGACAGTTCAAACACCAGCTGGGAATTGAACAAGCCTAGGCCAGCTAGGATAAGAGAGCCGCTAAGAGCACTGCTAACGGATGAACAGCTCTTACGAATGAAATGGGGTGAAAAGAACAACATTGCGTCTACTCTCAAAACACAGTTCAGACGCCAGCTGGGAATTGAACAAGCCTAGGCCAGCTAGGATAAGAGAGCCGCTAAGAGCACTGCTAACGGATGAACAGCTCTTACGAATGAAAGCGTTCACGAATCCCGCCCTCTTGATTATGGCTCAATGTGTTCGACACTGTTCGTTTTCATCGGACCAGAAGGGACGCCGCTGCACCGATCCACATCTTGAAGCTGCGCTGGCCAACGCAGGTGTTGGCGACTATGAAAAGGAGGAAGCAGCGCATCTCTCTCTGCAACACATCCGCACCTCCTTTCTTATATTCCTTCCTTACTTCTCACACGCCTTGCATGACACGCGGAGCAACGCCTTCCCTTTGGTGTCAACGGTCGCGGCCGCTGCACCTTTCCACTGCACCGAATTGTGCAGCCGCAGCCTAATGACATAACTGGCGGCGCAGGTGATCGCCGTCTAGTGGCCAGAGTGCACGATACGGGTCGGTGGTAGCTACAGCTGGCGCTCGATCGGACCATGAAGATTGTGCAGTGGTGCCGGCAAACCGGCAGAGGCGCGTGGCACTAGGGAAAACCCCGCGACCATGTGCACTTGCCACTCAGCAGCGTTTGAAGCAGCACGTGTGCGTGCCCCAGATTCGTTGGCCCACCATCCGCTATTGCAGTTCTTTTAAGTGTGAATACACTTTATAAGCGACTCCAAACCATCCACCGCCGTCGGCGGCGTCCGCAGTCTTCTCTCTAACTTTAAAAGAAAGAGGACTTGGCGGGCCGCAGCGCGACGCTCTACCGAATAAGCCACGGACGCGACGCTGATATCAGTGTCAGTAACGCGCCTTATACCCCCTCCCCCTTCGCTCGCTCCTCCGCTCTCCTCGCTCGCTGCAGCTGCGCACGCACCCCTCTCTCTCGCGCGCCCGCCTTCTCTCTCAGTCTCCCGTCGAGAGCGGGTCCTGAGGGGGAGTAAAGTTAAAATCCGTTGGCATTCGCCAGTGAGTTAACGTAAACTCCCCCGTGTGATCAAATTGCGATTCCCAGGAACCATTACACCATAAAGGCACCATAGTGTGATTAATAAATATAATAGTGCGAATTAATAAGTACCCCTCATAGCATCACCCCGTGTATTCGCACTTAACCATGTTCACCCTCGGGGAAATGCTTGGGAGTTTTATTTCAATGGCGAAGCTGTTTAGGCTACCCGTAGTCTGTGTGGCCTATCAGGAAAACAAACTAAAAAAAATGGCTATGTACCTGTGTGGTCTATATAAAAAAAAACTATGACCATCATAAATGGGTACGCGGCAGAGAAATGAGATGAATTACACAATTCAGTGCTGGTCCACTAAATAGAAAGAACAGAAAGGAGGATTCAGTAAGCTCAACATATCGGTATGCGCCGCAGAAATCGGCATAATCCCGTATACGTACACTGTAAACCAAATTACACCCATATAGGTGTAATATAGTGTCTATAACTCACACCCCAACACCCCGCGATATGGGTGTTGGGCACAGGACTACACCTATACAATCGGTGTATTTCCGAAATTTCACACATGGGTGTGTTAGGTGTAATAGCAAAATTACACCCAAATAACGAAAAAGGTGCAAGGGTGTAACATTAGAATTACACCTAAATGACAAAAAAGGTGTAGGGGTGTAACATTACGATTACACCTAAATGACAAAAAAGGTGTAGGGGTGTAACATTAGAAATACACCTAAATGACAGAAAAGGTGTGGGGGTGTAACAATAGAATCACACCCAAAGGACAAAAAAGGTGTGTGGGTGTAATACCAAGATTACACCCAAATGAAAAAAAAGGTGCAGGGGTGTAACATTGGGACTACACCTAAATACCAAAAAAGGTGTGGGGGTGTAACATTAGCATTACACCTAAATTACAAAAAAGGTGCAGGGGCGTTATATTAAAATTACACCTAAACCACGAAAAGGGTGTGGGGTGTCATATTAAGATTACACCTAAAACGTTGAATAGGGTGAGGGGGTGTTTATGCACAATTATGCCCCGACACCCTTGCAAAAAGGTCCATACTTAGACCCCTTTCTAGTAGCCTTCCATGGAAACACTGAAAGGTTACTTTTTAGCTGGACTTTTCAAGTGCACACATCTTATCATAGTGGCTCCTGTGACAGTGGCAAAATCGTGGCCCTAGTGCTGCTTTTATGGTGCATATGAAGCACGGCATATATGACCCTCACAATATAGTGTAATCAAAGTGGAATACAAATACATCTCTCAAATGTGTTGTCAAAAAATAAAGAGCACAATGTTCACACAGTTATCCGATGGTACAAACATGAAGTTAAGCTTTATTAAACAATGAACTTGTGAAAGCTTTATAGACAAGTTTTAGGTTTATTGAAAGACTTTTTTCAAGCATGAAGAGCAGCGCTGCATATGCTGCCAAACGAGACATTGCACAGAGGTCATGGAGCCCAAACAAACAAGGTGTGTGTGTCACAGTATGAACCAAAGGTGTTACTTGCACTCATAATGAGTGATTCATTTCAATGTGCTTCAATACAACATACCCACACTGTATAGTAAAGCATAAAAAGAACACTACTGCAGTGCAGCATGCATTATTTTCCCAATATTTTGATTATGGACATGTGAACTATATTGCGATCTCCTCTGTCTGGATCTCTTATTGTTTACAAAATTAAGCAAATTGGGTCATGCTGGGCACCACAGAATGCTTGTAATAAGCCCTTGCCAACAACATATTTCACTGATTCATATACAGCATATTTCACTGAACTAATTGAACACATTTTAGCAGCTCATGACTGAGACATTGTTTTCTTCGAATATAACTTAGCACGAACAGTGCAAAGTAACACTTAATATCACAATGAACTATCACATGAACTTTATAATATAAAGTGAACTGAATAACGACCATATCTACCCAACTACTGTTGTAAAATAGGATAGTAGGTATGAAAGCAAACTTTATGAGCAATAGTCGCATTTAGGAATACAAAAAAAGCACAGGAATCTATCTAAACTATAAGGCTTGTAATTTAACAGCTGCGTTCGTAACTGTAGATAGGCGTTTTGCAACAAAACAGAAGCACCGACTGTAAATACAAGCAAGATGATGCTGTGGATCAGTAAACAGGCACATTTAAATCAATGTGGGCTGTCACAGTGATGTATCTTTGCATTCATATTTAGATGATTCCTGACTATAAACAAGACAAAACATAAATAGTTTGTAATATGTAGAAATGTGGCAAGACTATAAAAATATTCTTAATGTCAAGAACATAGCACTATCAGCAAAAATAAAATTGCAAACGATAAGACCAGAGCAAAACATTACACAAATGAAAGAAATACTCAGTACCTCGCGTAGATACTTGTGTTTACCGTATTTACTCGATTGTAATGCAACTATGACTAAGCAAAAAGTGACTTCTCTCTAAGATCACGAAGAAAAAATAGTTATTTCGGTATTTGTTCTTAACTAGAGAGTCAAATTTAAAGGGACACTAAAGGCAACTATTAAGTCACCGCAGATTGTTGAAATAGAAGTCCAGAAACCTTGTAGTGTTACTTTTGTGCCAAGGAAAGGTTATTTTGAAATAAAATCACGCTTTCGTTGGCTACATCGGGTTAGTGCACTTCAAATCACCCGCCTTACAAAAACGAACCGACTCAGCGTCACTGATGCCGTGCACAACATTGCCCGGCTTTACTGCGCTGATCGCCGACGTTAGTAGACAGAACGAAAGCAGCGAGAGTTACAGGCAGCACCAACAGCCATTGATCAATTTCCTACCATTGGCTCCGAGATCGCAGAGGTGTTTTGGTTCAACTGCATCTTGCTAGATGGCATGATCTGTCTAGTGTAACAACGCGAAAATTGAATTTTTGAACCAGTCGAGCCATTTCCATATTAACGTCTGGTGGTTCTTTTTTTCATGAACCTAAACTAAGCAGCATTTTATTGCCTCCCTTGATACACGGAAGGTTCTTTATTTAGTGCAGCTAGATCGATTACTAGTGATTAATTTTAGGTGGTTCGTCCGACGTTATCGGTATCATTTTGAGAATGTCCTGCTGCTGTACATGTATTCTTTGCATTTACTTTAATTTCTCAGTAAATAGGGCACTGCTGTTGATAATATTGTCATTTTAGATGTCATAAACTTGAGCTTTCCACTCTGACCTGAATTGTTATTTGACTTTAGCGTTCCCTAAGTAGGCAAAAATGTTGAAAAAATGCATGTTACATTCGAGTAAATATGGTAACAAAAAGACATTATTAAAAACAAAATGTACAATGAGCAGTTTCCAAGTGGGGAAAAATTGTGGAAAGCCCACTTTGAAAACACAAAAAAATGACTAGAAAACATTAAATTATTTAAAAAAAAACAAAATAAAAGAAAACAAAAAAACATGTCATTAAACAAGAAATGTACACTCATTGCATACATTTAAGTAAAAAATGCTGCCTTGTGTCTGGCAATAAAACGGCGCGTCACACAACTGGGTTTGGTAACTTCCACATTCAAAAAAAGGTGCTCAAAAACACACAGAAGGTTTGCTGCGCCTTTTGGGTAAGTTGCATCGAAAATCCAAAATGCAGCCATGACAGCAGCCATTCCTTGTTTGGCATCCAGCACTCTAAAAAGCCGTGTCTGCTCCACATGAAGGAACCCCATCGAACACAATGCATGGGGCGAGTGGCACTTCAGCATCCTGCGTACAAGACATAAGCCATCAATATAAATTGTCAAAATGATGAAGTTCTGACTACCAAAATGAATATCATATCACTAAGCAAGCTACTGTAGGAATTTGTTGATTATTTGGACATAGGCTTTATCTTAGCCTTCACCAGAATGTGACCACCATGGGTGCTAAGCCATGGTGGTCACCTATTCAAACAAAGCAGCAACATAAATTGATACTGACCAGCTTTCTAGCAGTGAGCAAATAGTCAAAGCAAGCTTTTCAAAATAAATTACTACAATTAATCGGCTACTATCTTGCAGGATGCTGGCCCCCTCTATATTGTATATCTAGGGAACATATCAAACAAACACACCGTGTCATATTTACCAGCAGCAATGATCACTGCATGAAAAATACTACTAACACTTAAAGCATGTTGAAAAAAAGACCTCCTGTTGATGAAAATATGGCAAAGGCACAAAGCTTTCATGGGTAAAGCATATCACAAGGCAGCCTTATATTAGTATAGTGAAGTGAAATGCTCTTTAAGGTATTTTTGCTCAACAATAAAGTCTATACATAATTTACAATGAAAGTAATTAGTTATAGCATTGGCAGTATTTCACATCTACATGGTCAAAGTTCATACACGAGCACAATCTTAAGACAAAAGGTACAAAGTATCATTAAAGGCACACATGCGAAGTTCCCAATCACAGAAATCGCACAACTACACTGCACTGGCTGTCCTTTCTTTATGTTAGGTTCGAGTTACTGCTGGTTGGCAGCAGATTTTATGAAAGCTTGGAAGTTTCCTTTTCCACGGGAAAATAACTAAGCTAGAGAGAGTGAAACAGAAGAAACTAAATGATCTTAAAGATAATATTCTCAAGTATATGTTAAATACCTAGCTATCACTTATATAGAGCAGTGAAGTGTTGTACATGACTATCAAGGAAAGCAACATCAAGGAATTATATGGCTGCTACAAAAATACTTAATCAATGCTGAAACACTCCTCTTTTATGTTTTCTTTGTATTTTATAGTGTTTTAAATCAGCACTTGTTATCCGGTGCATGTTACACAACAGCTATAACTGAAAATACTGGAACATGTTTGAAATAAGTGACCCATCAGTAGCCTGAACAGAATCTAAAAATAGCAATTACCAAGGGCACGAAAAGCTGTGTCACTGCATCAGGCTGTTTCAGAACCTTCCCCAGAAGACCACACACCCGTACAGCTTGGATATCTGTAATACATGTACATAAAACACATCTCTTAATCAGCAGGTCAAAGGTACACAGTGCATAATAGGCTGCAAGCAACAAGCATTTGTCAGCTGCAATTTCACTTTTAATATAATAATGAATACAAATGGATGAGCAGAACAGTAAACCATGTTATACGTACAGCTTTATTTAAAACCACAAAATTTATTTTCTTCATTCACATTCAATACACCGCCCACCTTTCCAATGCTTCAGTGCGACTCAACGACTTTATGTAACAATAGTACATGCTTGAGAAGTTCCATTTATCTCCATTCTTGTTCATGCAGTGCAGCCTTTTCTTTCCCCAGGTATCTTCTGTACTCTTTCGTGTTGCAACCTTTTCTGTTCTTCATTCTTCAGTTTTAAGGGTGCTGTTTCTTTAAAGACTTTCTATTCTTGCGCTTCAACGGTCCACTCTCAGGAAGTATTGGTGTTTGACTGTATTTCAGCCGAATGTGCACTCTTCTGATGAAGTTGGGTGGGACTCCTTAGTTTCATTAGCACTAATGAAACTCTTTATCAATGTTGTTAAAGGCACTTCGAGGCAACAGGAAACTTGTAGAGGAATGGCTGTGCCTCATTTTTTTATATATGACCCCATGGCTCTCTTGAAGCTCTGCTGGCTCCAGGCTGTCCTCAAGCAGCGGTGTTTTTGCCACTTCACTCGAAAGGCACTGATGTTGGAGAGAAGCCCTATTTGTTATGTGCACCAATATTTTTTTCTTGTTTTTTGCACTTCATTTTCTTAATGCGTGCTTTACTGCACAGTGGTTCTTACCATCAGAGTTTCTTTTTGTCTTGACAGATTTTCATGAATATATTTCCTTGCAGTAGTAAAACATTTTTCCTTAGACGCTCTAGTGCAAAAAACTAAATGTAATCTTGTTTTCCCAACTGTCCACTGACAAGCACGACCTGCAAGACAAAAAAACACAAATGAGTATAGACATAATTTCTAGCTTAGTAAATATCACAGAATACACATAGTATATTACAGTTACCACTGCATAGTACTTCTAAAACAGCAGCAGTATAAGTGATCAAAATGTCAACTTATCAAGCTCATCATTTTTCCGACCGTGAGATAGCCCTGAAGAGACACAATGGCAAACAATAATTGTCAAAGAATAGATCATAATCAATGAGCGCATGTAGTAAATTTTTCATCAAAGTCTTTTGTTAGCCCATATAAAACAAGCTGAGAAACGGAACAGCATAGTCAGCTGCAGCATGAGGTCTTATTTTTTTAGAGGCGAGGGGCGAGTACCGTCCCTAACAGAAATTTTAATGACACCTACCCTACACCACAAAGGCATGAAAATCCACATAAGTAAATGAAATGAGTACCTCACTAGGTACACCTCTAATATACATTTCTTCATAACTTGGCAAACACAGAAACAAATCAGATGGACTAGTGCATAATGAAAATGCTGCAAGGAAGCTGCTAAGAACAAGTAAACAAGCAAAAGTATGTATAAAGATTTCCAGCAGCACATTTTGAACTAGCTTGCGACAAATTATAGTCAATGATATAGCAAATTAGCAAACTCTTATTCTGTGAAACAAAACTCCCCAAACTCCCCAAAAGAGAAAAAACACGTCCTTTGCTGCCTAGCATGCCTGCACTTCTCAGAGATTATGACCAGAGCCTTAATTCCCAAAAGAAGTAGACTTCATGTACATAAATAAAAATTGATGGAGGCAGTAACTCATTTGAAAAAAAAACTATTGCCATATAAGACCGCGGAGCCCACCAGGACCGCGGAGCCCATCAGCCCACCACTGATAATGCGGCCGTAATGTTCATGGGGAGCAAATCTTTCACACCTTGGTTACTCCATCCCGATTTCCTCACACTAAATTGTAACATCTCAGCATAGATTGTGCTGACGATTTTTTTCTCCGTCATTCTCTTCATTTTTCAAAATGTTGGTAAAGAACATATCTGCCAAAAAACAGGGCCAGCGCCACGTGGGTGGGGGGGGGGTGTACCGGAAGGCTGGAGCCCTTCCCCAAATTTTCGCTTGCTATGCCATCCCCCCCCCCAACCCCAACAGCGCGGACATATGGCGAATTCCATTAGATAACAGGAGGAGAGAACAGGGCAGTGAAGAGTGGGGGGCGGAGCACTGAGAGCAGGGAAACTCAATCTGCCACTGGAATGCGTTCGCGCTCCCGAGGACAGATGAAGGGGGTGATTAGTGGGGAGAGTGATCTAAACTTTCCAAGCCCTGGAATAATCTCTGTCGGGTAGCAGCAAAATACGCGCGAAATCGGTCAGACATACACTCTCATTATCCTAATATCTAGTATCTTTGTGCAACGGCGCATTCGGCAGACGTCCAGCTGTCATCGTAGCCATCCGTACAAAACAGCGGTGTCAAACTACACGTGGTTGCTACCATTGCCGCCGCACTCGCGGGCAGAAGAAAAATTCGGAGACTGTGACGTTCAAGGCCCACATGACTCATCGTGCTGCGCCTACTCTGCTTTTGAGCCAAAAGCACTACAAACTGCTCCTGGCTGCTCTCGGCGCAGCAAAAGCACTCCCTCTCTCTACCAATCAATGACAGTGCTACTGCACCTGTTCGACCACTGGAACACGTCAGCTCTGAAGAGAGCACTTTCAGTCTTCTTTTGAGGTCCCGAATAACGCCTCCAGTGGAGATCGCCACAATCGAAACTGGGGGCCTCCGAAGTTGTCGGTAGAAAGTCTCGGGGGCCAGGAATTTTTCGCAATAATTTGCAAACGGCACCACCCAGTGACCACCAAAAATTATTGCCGCGCGTGACGTGACAACACCGCCGCTGCGCATGCACATGAATGCATAATGAGATTAACTCACTTGTCCTGGGTATACCCCCTTCCTGTGAAAACATACATGTGCCGGCCCTGCCAACAAATGGGTCTTGAGAAGCATAGGCTCACAAAACAAACAGGACAGCCCGGTTTAAAAAAATAATGACAAAATTTCGAAAGCGTGATGACTGTGGGATAAATTAGCATTGATACACACGCATCACATACGAAATACTAACGGATAATATAGCTTGGCGCCTGTTTAAACTCAAATTTGAAATGCGCGTTGCGTCACCCGACGCGAGACGCGCCTTCAGTTATCGTGCAAAAACCAACCGCCACCTGCGTGCGAGTTCTTGTTTGTTGCCACGACCCTTGTGAGCCATCTCTCCTAACCCGACATTTTCAATGGAATGCAGACAGTGCAGACTTGAACAACTGTGCAACGAATTCTTACGGGGGATGGAGCAAGTATACTTATTTACAACGTTTTATAGCCGATCTCAGCAGCTCCTAGGAAACCTCCGGACAAAAGAGTAGTCTCATGTTCAAAAGCGCACGTGTAGCCATCTATATGAGCACACAAAGAACGATGCTTACATACAAACCACGCTGCATAAAAACCACTCATGAAAACTAATCAGCGCTTTCTGAAACCAAAACTACGACTGGGCGCTATCAAACCACCTACAAATAATAAACCGTCGCGCGCTCGAGTAAACCAGATTTCCAGCATGATAAGTGGGTCATTAGCTGCTTATCGCAATAGAAAAAAAAAACAAAATACAAAATTCTGTGTCAGTGCTGCTTTCAGTGCTATTGCATACCAATATTATCTCTACATATTGACAATAGGGCAACAGAAAGCCGGTATAGGAATATGTGTGGCTGCTAGCACCACGCAACAATGTAGAATAGATACGCGGAAACTTTCACCCACCGGGTGACACGTCATACATAGAAAGGGCAAAAAACCGGCGAATTGGGCGAATTGGTGATGCTCCATGGTAAAAATATAAAACAGCACTCAGGGTAGCACAGACACACACGGCGCTAAACTTGCTGCTGCTTTGCAAGTTTAAGGCCATGTATCTCTTCTTTTCTCTGTCTGTGTCTAAGCGCTGTTTTATATTTTACCAGGCATCTGCGACAAACACATTCCGCAACCTCCCTCGCTCCCAGGTTACCCCGCGGGCAACAATAGAATGGTAAATGTATGTCAGCCAAGCACGTCGTCATCCTACGGGGGGGGGGGGGGGGGAGAGGAGTTGCTTCGACACTCGCCTGCCGACGCTCGCGAAAGGAGCTGTCTACAAGGGGTTTTTTCCCGGAATGCGTAAGGCAATAGCAGAGGGACGTCCAGAAGATGGAAGTGCAAGTAGCGCTCTTGCAGAGCACTGAAAACCACGGCAATAACGACTTTGACGGCGCTTCTCTTCCAGAAAGAGAAGAGAATCCGGGAAGGAGGATCTCGCTCGAGTCTTAGCATATTGAGCACACACCTAAAACGTGAAACGCTCGCTAGGAATACGACCTCTGAAGCGTGAGGGAAAGGGAAAGCCAGAGCTGTGTTGAGAGGACAAAGACCATCACAGTGATGCTCACCTTCTCAGGATTCTCCAGATGCCTTTTTCCTTTCTTTCAACTACACATTCATTCTCAGGAAGAGACCGAATCGGTCCTGAAACGTCAGGCACTCTTTAAACTGTGGCCAGAGTCATCCCAACTTTGTCTCCTACTATCAAGAAAAGTTTATTTTGAAATGTTTACATTTAAACGACGTATACTGGTTGCGCCCACCACGAAAAGTTCGAGAAACACTCACGTAACCAGAGCAGCGGAAATATGCCTACGCCCGGCAGTTGACAGGTCACTTTAAAAGCATAATTCAAAACACCCATAAAATATCTTGCGCCATTCTATGAACGCATAACACACAAACACGCTCGCGCGCGTGATAAGCTGGTTATTTTTGTACTAAGTGGGTGACTTGCATTATGCCGCCAAAAATTGTTTTGCTTTTATCTGAAGATTAGCAGTTGCGGAACAGCGGACCTCTCCACCTCTGCTGAGAATATTTTTTGCCATTACGCATGCATGTACTCACCAAATTCATAGAAGCAAATGCCAATACCCTTGAATCAGCGCATTTCAAATTTTAATTACTGCTATTAT